CTGGAAAGGCAACGTCCCTCAATGTCGTGCGGGACAGCTTATAATTGGGCTCTGGAACATTATTGAGACCTTTATATCTAAAGTGTGTATGTGCAAAGAAGATAGCTAGACCATGATAATAGGCGCACACAAGCGTGAAACACAGACACTGTCATCTTTGCTGGAGGTCGATGGTAGGCTAGATGGAAGCCTTAGTTAATAGTGACCTCCATCCTTCTCAGGTGATTTCAAACAGTTATTGTATCATGTATGCGAGGTATGAACTCATTTTTCTGCTTATGATGTATGTAATTTTCCTGTCGCATCTATAAAGGAGCTTACTTAAAGTGTAAATATTGTATTAAATGAAAATGGCATGGATGCCATATAATTTTGATACTTCTATGTTTCCTATAAAGTTCGCATTCTTACAATTGAATCTATACTGTTCAAATGAAATTGCAAGATCTGATGAATGCTAGAAACACTCATAGCATGTGGAAATGTCTCTTCGATTTACTTCTTTCTGCAACATACTTGGTGTCCAATTGCAGTATCATTGCTACTGAATCCAGCATTTAGTGACTTGATATTTATTTCTGGTATTATTTTATACTTTGAATTATTCATAAAAGATTAAAAAACCCCCCAACACACACACACACTCGCTCACTGAGGCTGTTTGATACATGCATAACCTATTTACAATTACCCAGTCTGGAAAAGACCTCCTGATTGAAATTATGACCAACTTAGCTATCCGGCTCAACTGTGAGTCTGTCTTATCTTCACACTGCATGGGTACTGGCCCTGCATGTTTTTTCTGCATATCTTTGGCATTTTGTTGAGGATTGAAGAAGCTGCCTCTAAGACATTCCCAGAAGCTGGGGCTTCTTATTTGGATTAAGTTTTATTTAGTCCACACTCAGCAACGTGCGTGCAACCTTGACCCAGGAAAAAGAGGATCTTTATCTCAGGGTTTTGTATAGAGATGTTTTGAGTCAATGAAATTAGTAAGAGAGTACATTTTATAGGGAAAATGAAGGAAGCTGAATCGCATTTATTTGCAAGACAACAAGCTGTTATTACATCTTTCACAACCAATCTCATACACAAATAAATCAAAGACACTTGTATACAATACATATTTTCACACAATTATTCAGCTGATGGAGCCATTGCACTCTATAAATTTTTTAAAAATAGAAAAGAAGAAATATTTAAGGTACAATACAAATTCATTGAACGAGTGGAATTGCAGTTTCAAATGTTCACTGCTTTCTTGATAGTCTTGACGGATGACTTGATAAAGCTGTTCCCTGCAGCACGATCCTCATCATAGTCATCATCACCGGTTACCATTGGCTTTTTCCTCATGCATTCCACTCCCTTTCTCATACCACCCAAGATCAAAGATGGAGAGGATGGGATGCGCCGCAATGTCCTGGCACTCTCAGACCTTACAAGCGCTCTTTCTTTTTTGCTCTCTATCCTTTCCTTCCCTTCAAAACTGTTGCTACTTCCAATTGCTTCACCTCCAACACTGTCATTTCCTCTTCCTATCTCAATAATCTCTTCTACCCTCTTTCCTTTATCATTTCCTTGGACCTCTTTTGTTGAGCTCGTGGCCTCCTTCTGTGGGAACTTTTGGTTCAGTTTTGTAATAATATCATCAGATGTGTTTGTTCCACAGCTGTTTGAGTTTTGAGGATCGAACTCTTCTCCAGAATTCTCTAACAGCAATTGCAGCCACCTCTCTACATTTCCCTTTCCACGTTGCTTTCTGCTCTCTTCGTCCTCTTCTATTTCTTGGTCTTGGATAAATGGGAATTGAATTTTGTCTCTCTTTCCTTCTCCTATTTCCAGTGCCTGAAGCTTATACTCAATTGGAATTTCATTTTCCAATGCAACGATTGATTTATTATGGTCTTCTCTCATGTTAGTCATTTCAGGTTCTTTGAGTTCCTCTTCAATTTTGTCATCTTTCACATCTTCGTTTGCAGACAAGCCAGCTTCAGATGCTTTTTGCTCCTCCTCTAGAAACACTCTGAGCTCCTTGTGTAAAGGTGTCCTTGGCCTGAGTCCCGGTAAAGAAAGAACAGTTTTACTGTGGGCATCTTCAGGTAAGGTATCATACATTCTTGATCTCTTCCTTCCTTGTTCCCATTGAGGCCTAATTTGTTTCTCAAGCTCATCTCTTTGTTTGTATTTCTTGTGGAGGTCTTTCTCTGAAGCATCACATATTGCCTTCTGTGCTTCAAGCCTTGCCATGAGTGCATTAGCTGCAGCCTGGTTCAGTCTCACTTGTTCCTTGTAAACAACACTCCTGCAGATAATAGTTCAGAAATGCAGTCTTGAAATAAAAAAATGGAGAAAACAATCTTTTGTGTTAAGAGTAGTAAATCTTACTGGTGCATAGCATCACGGATCATCTTCTCTAGCATAGTTCTATACGAAGATTGTGCCTCAGCTAGCCTCCTGCACTTTTCTGCTCTTCTCCTACGCTTTATTAGTGTCAATTCCAAGTCCTGAATAGTATACTTTTCCTCCTCATTCTTTCTCCTTATTTCATTAACTTCTTCGTCCAAACTCAGTATTTCAGCCTGCATCTTGTGCGTTTCTTCTCTTTGCTTGAGGGAATCTCTGGCCATGACAATTGCTTGATATGGATTTGTGACAAAGTCTGGGTTCTCATTTTCTTTCAGAACGCTTGGCTTCACTTTTCTTGAAGCTAAAGTAACACAACAAAAGAACGCAGTATATTTACTTCGTGAAATTCAATTTTATAACTATGGGAAAAATGACAAAAAGATCGTAAAAGAAAAGAAAAGAAAAAAACAGCTATCTATTTAATTTTCCTCCACTAACCAATCGCAGGAGAATGCGGCCTTATCTGCCTGTTGTAATCCAATGATTTCAAAGCCAAAGAAGAATCATATGATTCTCTTCGAGATGCGACAACAGCAGCTGGAGCAAGGCCCATTTTTTCTCTGGATTCAATGAAGTGTTGTGGAAAAGAATGTGACTCTACAGTCTGGGAAGCATTTAGTTCCTCACTCTCTCCTTCTGAGAACAAAAATGAAAATGCCCTGTGCCTGCCATAATTTTGGAATCAAATGCATTATATAACTTCTCTAACGCTGTTCAATTTGAATGCCACAGAAGGTAGATATCCATACAGAACCACCTGAAATCTGAGTTGGAAGAATCAAAGATGGATAAGAACTGATTCACAGAGATTCCCAGCTGAAGATCCCACCATGGAACAAGAAACTCTAACTTGTTATGCTTCCTCTTGCACACTTGCCATTGTAGTATCCTTAGATTGCTTGGAACTGTCAATCCTCCCCCTACAATTCAAACCAGAAAAATCACACATTACAGAGGTATTGTATGCATTCAGAGAGAGAGAGAGAGATTAGTGATTAAATACGTACTTGGGCAAGGGAACCAATGATCAATGTCCCAGGCAAGAGGAGAGGCTTTATCGGCATGAAAATATAGAACATTGCCGTATGGGTCCACTCGAATTACTGCAGGGTCAAATCCAGCATTCCTAAAACCCAACGCAGATAACGATATATCAGAGATCACATCATTATATTATCATAAAAATTCCAGTATTTTTTAAGGTCAGAGCAGAGATGAAGCGGTTACCCTAGGTGATTGAGCTGCTTCCACAAGAGGCTGATGAAAATCTTGGGCTTGGCAGTTTGTTTTGCTTTTGGTTCAATAACTGGAAACATCTCCTCTAATTCCCTTGCTCTCGAAATCTGCAGAGAAAATTATGATCAAAGTCAGCGTCAAAATAGATGGAAAGAAAAACCATATTCCTTGAAAAAGAACTATCAAGAAAACATTTCATGCAGTAGCCGAATTATCGACAGTTTTAACTCTTTTAGACCCCATTTCATGCAAAATTCTCGATCCCTTTTGGTTGTTTAGTCTTTTGTTTGATTTCGAGTTCTAGCTTCAACTTTAACATATCAGTTTCATCCTAAAACCACATAATCTTAGTAGAATTTCTCAAGAAAAACTTGGTGAACCTAAAGAAGAACGAAGAAGCTAAAAGAACTAAATTATCAATAATCATAAAGACCTTTTTTTCCACTTTCAGAGGCCAATCTGTGTACTTTCTAGTAAATCCCTGTAAAATTTAATCCATTGAGCCAATTCTCTCCTTCACTACCAACTAAAAAAAAAAAAACTCAATTCTACTTTCTTCACCATTTTCCAAGAATCCAAACAGACTCGTCAAAAGGGTCAAATTTTTTGTTTTAAATTACCTCATGTTGCTGCATTACATATGGAGTGAAAGCGAAAGGAGGACCATGGCTATAAGTCCAAACAACACCACGATCTCTACACAGCCTGGCATAGGCTCTTGGGAACCCAAGTCCCTCATCAACCTCCATATCTTCTTCCTTGAATGCATAGTCGGCTGCCATTGTTTTCTTCTTGATTTCTTCTATTCTAGCTTTGAGACAGAGGCTTTGAAACAGAAAAATCAGTGTTCCGTGGTTTTGTTGGATCGAAAAGAAGCTAACGGTCGAATTCTTTGTTTAAAGGGAGTATCAGATTTTGGTGGGGTTTTGAATTACGGAAGTGCCACGTTATCAAAATAGACGGTGGGTGTAACGGCTAGATACGGGTGGTCCTACGTACAACTATAAATCTCGGTCATAGGTTTGGCATAATCTTAGTTGGCTTCTAGGACCAAAATGCCCTTTGTACAGAATATATGTGTCATCAATCAAATCTTGAGAATTTAAACTTTAGATTCAAGTAGGGTTTTGCTGTGGTGTTAAATAGTTGAAAAGAAGGAGAGTTCATTTTGTAGGCTGTTAGCTCCTTCTGCAATTTGAACTTGAGGTACTATAGAGCTAAAGAAGCAATGATTTCCTTAATCATTGTCGTTTGAACAAAAACAAAAAGAGTCCACATTTTAAAGCTACCCTAAAAGAACCTTTAAGGAAAGAGGAGATTTGATTTCGGTGGGTCCACCATTAAATCAGCTTAGCTTAGATTACAGGTGGCCGGCCCTTGGGCTTGATGGGGCTGAGCTGGTCATTTGGATTTGGTGGCGAATGAACATGAATTGGGCGTGGGAAATGAGGCCGAGAGAAATCTAGAAGTTCAGTTCGCATCTTCAAAGGCCTTTTCATAATAGTTCACAATTTTATCTTTATTTACTATATTTCGATTTTTGTTTTCCCTTGATATCTTGCACTTTATCTTCATTTATTATATTTTTATTATTTCATAATTACTTCTATATTTTTTTTTAGTTTTGTTTCTTCTTAAATGGATTTGGATTTGTACTCTCTCCACCACTTTAATCTTTTTCATTGTAAGTTTAAACTTCAACGTGCTATTTTTCTTTTTTTCTTCGTGTATAAACAACGGTTTTTAACCTTGGATTGTTTACAGGAAGGATAATTCTAGACTAAACGAGTTCGTTGCAAACTAATGTGCTGGAAAATTGGGAAAAGATTACCATTTACTTCCTGACAAACAAGTTTAAATTATTACAAAGTGTTACATATATATATATATATATATATATATATATATAGGAAAGATACATCTAGAAAAATTACTCGCTATTTAAAAAGGATACCAGCAGATTCAATAATTAAATTATTATTCCTACCAAATTTTTTACAAAAAAATTACGAATACACCATCCATCGATATTTGTTATACAATATTTATTAGTAATTGGTGAAGAGTTTATTTATGATTGTATAAAAAAAAAAAACGATGGGAATAACAATTTAGTTAATGAATTTAGCAATAATTTTTTTAAAAATAATTCACAATGCTAACAGTTTAAAATAATCTTATAAGCAACAAAGGATCCTTTCAATAATTTAAATGACAAATGATTTTTTTTAAAAAATTCTCAAACTTATACTGTTTATATAAAAACCGATTACATCTTTTGTATATAGATGAGTTTGAGACACTATATCTCGTTCGTTCATAGAAGATTCAAAATTGCTTATCAGTATCTATTTTTTCTGCCCATATAGAAATAACCACTAGTTTTTTTGTTTAAAATGAAGAAAGATCTTGACAAATAAGGAAAACAAATAGTCAACACGCAACCACATAGATCTAAATACAAGATTTAGATCTAAAAAAATAAAAATAAAATTATTTTTTTCTCAAGAATAATAATCTGGAGTTATGAGAAGCAAAACGAGAGGCTATCTTCAATAAAGGTGAGCATTATTCAGTTTTTTTTTTAAAAAAAAACTAAAATAAAGATTCTAGTTCGGTTTTTGTCTTTTTGTCCCTTGATTTTCTTTTTCGAAACAATAATTGTTTTGGTTTGTTTCTACCAAAAACAGAATATCATATATAAATATATAAATATATTGATAAATTCATTTATATGCATAATAATACTAGTGTGTGGATAGATATCTATATGTAGTCTAATACTAAGAAACCATAAAACTATCATCCTATTAGTTCAACCCTTTATTTATTATTTCTTTTCTTTTCCTTTTTGTCTATTGCTAATTAAATTTTGTGTTGATTATGATTTATGGGTTATATTATTTGTCTTGAATATTTGACGTTATTTTGTAATTGATTGGAACTTTGGATGGTATTTTTTTCCAAAATAAACTCGATGAAAAAGGATTAAAAACAAGAATTTTAAATTATCGGATGAATAAAAAGATCTAACTCATCATAAAATTAATGTCTAAGAAATCAATAATCATATCATTTTTGCATTAAAAAACAATTATGTTTTTACATAAAAAAACTAAATAAAAAATAAAAATTTTGGTTTTAAAAGCCAAAAACTTAATGTTCATCTCTAACTATCAATAAGAACCATTAACAACATATGGATAACTACTTTGAGAAAAAGTTAGATTCTTTTAAGACTTTTTAAGAAAGAAGAAGAGAAAAAAACATTGCTGATGGTTTTAATTATCTCTCTCTCTGTATATGTATATGTGTGTGTGTTATAAAATTATCTTAATTGTTTGTAATTTAGTTATCCAATCTTAATTTGTTCCAATTGTAAATCGGTAAACTTTATCTTATTTCTTCTTAAAATTTTAAGACAATACAAGTCTAGTATTTTTAAGCAATCATAGAAATTATATATATATATATAATATTTTTTAAATAAATTCTATCAAAGATAGCAATAGATTACGTTTTGTCTTTACATTTATCTGAACTAGTGAAATTTGTGTTAGATTATTGTATTATTTGGTCGGGTAGGATCTCGTAAAATTTATATTCAGGTTGATTTTTTTGTTCTTTATAGTATTTTTAATTTTTTTTTACATATAGTAAAAAACTATTGCATGTTATATAATAAAATGATTTTAAAAATTAAATTTTATATTTAAAAATAAGTAATAAAATAATATTATTTAATCAATCAAATTGGTGGCAGGTCCGGGTTGGAAACCCATCTTTTCGGGTTAGGTAAAATCAAATAGTTTTTTTTTTTCCTAAATAAATTAGAAGCATCAACCGAATTTCCAACATACACCATCAACTTAAGCTAAATATGCTCTTATTGAATTAGCATAATTTATTTTTAATCATAGATATGCAACATGTATACCTTGACAAATTGATTTCTAAAAATGATCATTACCAGTTGCTTGAAAACATAAGTAATTCCTCAAACATACATTAGAATTTCCTAGAAAGAAAGATAGCAAAGAAGGCGAAGAAGAGTGAGTTGGTGGATAAACTTCAAATAAGAAAAAAATATATACTTTGGGTGGAAAGTTTTCTTCCTAATTTCGTGATTTTCAAAGAGAAATTCGAAGGCCCGAAATTCCAATCCACGTATAAACTCCTTTTCTTGATCTTGTTGTTAGTTACAACTTACACGCGCATCATACAAGCTTGTAATAATTAATTAATTACTAAGTAGTATGTCTGAACACTTGTTAAGACAAAAATATTAACCATTGACTTTCCACCAAAACGACCACTACCACTACTTCAACTTGACTTAAACTTCACTCTTTCGCTCTACCCTCTCTCTTCCTCGAGAAACCAGATCCTTTTTCTTTTAACAACTGGGATTCAGCTTAACTAGAGATTGATGGATTTCTTTACAAGGAAAAGGTCGCCAACCAAAGCTTAATCTTTACATTCAGGTCAGTAATTTCCTTCAACCATCAGATTCAGTGATCCAGACATGTTTTTTTCACCAAAAATTCATCTTGAATTCTGATCCTGTGTATTGTATCATCATTTACTTGATTACCCATTTTGCTTTTGATGGTCCATTGTACCCCCACCAAACCTGTTTTTCTTTGCTTGCTGAGCCAAGTAGTATAATATTAAAGCTTTGTGCCAAAGCTGCTATTTTTATTCACTCTCCTATTTTGTGTTTTGAGCATTAGGGGTTTTCAAGTTTTGTGCTTTGGATCCTAGTGTGTTGGTGGGCTATAAGTGATTTGGTTTATAAGAGTTGTTGTGATCATGAAGAATACTGCATCTGTTGTTGTTCTTGTTTGGAGTTTCGGTTGGTTGCCGTTGTTATTTGGTTTTACAAATTCATATACTCCAACTTCATCTGCAATGTACGAGTCTACAATTAGTGAATCTACTGTGAGCTATAATTATGATAGAATTGATGAAGTGAAGAAACATTGTGCGCCTGTTCTAGCTTCTGCTACTGATTTGAAACCTGAAGATGATAGAGTGAATAATATTAAAGATCTTTATTTTGTTAATGGGGATTGGAGGCAGGAGGTGGGTCAAGCCCCGCTACTGCCATATATTGATCCAGGCGTTCAGAGAGGTAATGTTTCAGATTTCCAGACCCCCCACTGAACTTAGTTTCTTTCTGGGTCATGGACATTGATCGTGCCCATCGGGCGAAAAAATCACTTAGTGTGAATGGGATCTTGGTTATGGGCACTACCCTAGATTCATTTATGGAGAGACCATATGATGGCAGTCCTCACTTTCAGATATGGTCCGGTCATACACAGCTTTCTATTTCATTTCAAGGGATATATACAGAGTCTAAGAAGAATGGGGGTGAAAGAGTGATGTGTTTGTTGGGGAGCACAATGTTGCCTTCTCGAGAGTCTGATTCGAGCAATCCATGGGAATGGGCAAAAGGTGGTTCTAATTATAACCAGCCACCTCTTCTGCAAGATGATCAGATTCTGCTTGTTCTTCGTTATCCAATGAGCTTTACATTGACAAGTAGAGTGATCCAGGGGGAGATGAAGAGTTTAAACTCCAAGTCAAATCTTAAGTACTTTGATGAAGTTCGCATTTTGTCTCAGCTGGGGCAGTCAGTGAAATACGAGTTTGGCTCTGAAAGGTTTGTTTCCAAATCATGTGCTCCATACCCGTATAATGATAGCTTGGTGAATGGTGGCTTTGATATCTATAAAGGATCTAGATTTTGTGAAATTCTGGGGATAATTACTGGAGAAGGAGCTGGGCCTTTCACCATTGTGCCAAATTGGAGATGCAATGGTACAGATGATTATTGCCGTAAATTGGGTCCGTTTGTTTCAGACAAGGAGATAAAGGCCACGGATGGGGGCTTTAAAGGTGTCAAGCTTCTTATGCAGAATGTTAAATGTGAGCAAAAAGCTGCCCGAGGAAATGCAAGTTCTGCAAGAGTCGCTGCTGGCTTTCGAGCCATTTCTCCACTAGAGAATCAGTATGCTGCAGCAATGAGATCTGGGCTGAGCAACATGACTGTTGTGGCTGAGGGAATCTGGAAATCTTCAACTGGGCAGCTTTGCATGGTTGGTTGCCTTGGATTAGTTGACTTGGAAGGAAGTACCTGCAATTCACGAATCTGTTTGTACATTCCCTTGTCATTTTCCATAAAGCAACGGAGCATAATTTCTGGGAGTTTCTCCAGCACCAGTGGAATTGATGACTCATACTTCCCTTTATCATTCGAAAAACTGGTGCACCCAACAGAGTTGTGGAATTATTTTAGGAATTCCTGTCCATATTACAGTTACTCAAAAATAGAACAAGCTGGTGTTATCCTGGAAAAAAACGAGCCCTTCAGTTTTCAGACTATAGTGAAAAAATCACTGCTGCAGTTCCCGAAAGTAGAGGACACAGAGACATTAATAATCGGCCTTTCTCTTCTTGCAGAGGACCTGACCCTCCATCGCTCCGCTTTTCCTGATTCACTCCCTCATTCGCAGCCAAAAATACCAACTGATTTTCAGATTGAGGTTCTCTCACTTGGCCCCATGTTTGGGCGATTCTGGAATGTGTCATACGCAGATGAGGAAATTCTTCTCCATAATGAGGCTCAATATACTGAAAAACAACTTCTTATGAATGTATCAGCTCAAATTACACTTGATGGAGAAGCTTATAGCAATGTTTCTGTGCTTTTTCTGGAAGGCCTTTATGATCCTCTTGCTGGGAAGATGTATCTAGTTGGTTGCAGGGATGTCCGGGCCTCGTGGAATATCTTATTTGAAAGCATGGATCTAGAGGCAGGTTTGGATTGTTTAATTGAAGTAATTGTGTCTTATCCACCTACCACAACTCGGTGGTTAGTCAATCCAACAGCTAGGATTTCCATTTCCAGCCAACGGAATGCAGATGATCCCCTCTATTTTAGCACGGTTAAGCTCCAAACTCTTCCTGTTATGTATAGGAGGCAGAGGGAAGACATTCTATCTCAAAGGGGGTTGAAGGGATCCTCCGGATTTTGACTCTTTCATTTGCAATTGCTTGTATTTCAAGCCAACTATTCTACATCAAGCATGAGGTGGATTCTGTTCCGTTCATGTCTCTGGTGATGCTTGGCGTCCAAGCTCTTGGATATAGTCTTCCACTGATCACTGGTGCAGAAGCTCTCTTTAAGAGGAAGTCATCTGAATCTTATGAAAGTTCATCTTATTATCTTGAAAAGAATCAGTGGCTCAATGTGATTGATTACGCGGTGAAACTTCTTGTTATGGTAGCATTTCTAGTAACTCTAAGGCTCTGTCAGAAGGTGTGGAAATCTCGTATCAGATTACTTACGAGAAGCCCCCGTGAACCACATCGTGTCCCAAGTGAGAAATGGGTGTTTCTTGCTACCTTGGCCATACATGTGATTGGGTATGTAATTGTGCTCATCATTCATTCTGCAAAAACCAGCCAGATACCTGTTCAAATGGTGGAATACATTGATTCGTCGGGTAATTCCCATACTATTCGGGAATGGGAAACCAAACTAGAGGAGTATGTGGGTCTTGCTCAGGATTTCTTCTTGCTCCCACAAGTAATAGGCAATATTATCTGGCAAATTGATTGCAAGCCACTGAGGAAACTTTACTTTATTGGGATCACTGTTGTCAGACTTCTCCCTCATTTCTATGATTACATGAAATCACCTGTTCGCAATCCATACTTTGCTGAAGAATATGAGTTTGCGAACCCGAATATGGATTTCTACTCTAAGTTTGGGGATATTGCCATACCAGCCACTGCAGTTTTTCTTGCAGTTGCAGTCTATATTCAGCAGAGGTGGAATTATGAGAAGCTTAGCCAAACTCTCACTATTGGCCATCGAAGGCTACTTCCTTTGGGATCCAGAGCTTATGAGAGGTTGCCATCGAAGTCAATTGAAGCTGAGCTTGCTTCTGGTGTCAATGGGAATACCAAATTGGAGACAGAACATGAAGATGAAGAATAATATGCCACAGCCTTTCATAGATAAAACTAACAGAGTAGCTGGTGTTATTCAAGGGTATATGTATCATCATGTGTGAGATATGCAAAACAGTAAATACCAGAACTTGTTTTATTTCCTATTGAACTTTTTTTTCCTTTTATGTCAAATGGTTACTTTTTTTTTGTTTTTTGTTTTTTTTGACATTACTGCCAGTTTATGACATTTGAAAGATGGTCTTCAGTTTTAGTAAGCATTGAGCTATATCGATTGTACACATGAATATACTTGGACATGATGGGTTTTGATACGGTTTCCTTGACCATAATATATTCGTATAAGTAACTGAATAAGTTGATTTTTTTTTCCCCAACTAGTTGGAATCATATTTGTTGTGTTGCACATGAGTTGGCTTTAAACTTGGAAGCCTGTTAGCTCGTAGCGTCTGGCCAGGCCATGGGTAGGTAAAGTTCCTTCAGAATCCTCTAGTTCTTGTTGGGTGGATGAATTGATTTTGACAGGAGGAAGACCTTATTCTTGATGTGCACTGCGCAAAAATGGGTCAGAAAATTAGAGAAGGAAAAAACCTATGGATTTAAGTTTATATCATATTTTTAGGAAAAATATGTTAGGAAAGAATCGAGCAAAAGAATAGAGTTGAAAGATAAGAATAATCACACAATATATTTATATGGTTTGATAATTATGTCTACTTCGTGATTGTACTAAGATTTTTTTTTAGGTTTTATCAAGTGGCAGCTATAAATACAACTGATGTTGTCTCCGTTTATAGTATAAACAACCAAGATTATAATAAAAAACCTAATAGGCTTATACATCTGGCCTATTATTCAGTAGACCTTTGCATAACATCTTATATTACGGGTCTTCATCAACATCAATCTCTATAACTTAACAATCTTCAACTTGGAGACTGATATCCAAATAACATCAAATCCTTTGTAACTGTCCATTTTCTCAATTAACTTTAAGTCTTTCTAGCATAGTGTCTTTTCATCGTTAATCATGAAAGCCAATTGAGGTAACGCTTTGTAACTATCTCGTTTTCTCAACCAACTTCAAGTCTTTCTAGTGTAACATCTTCTCATCATCGATCATAAAAGCTAGCAAAGCCTCAACTTATCAATGATAACTCGTTTTGATCAATATATCAACTGAATTTTTCAATCTTAAAATCTTATTTAAACATATTATTTCATTATCCAACAACTTTCGAATATAATACGACTATCATATGTGTAACGCCTTATGTTACATCAATCTAAAATAACATAACAAAGTAAATAATTTTGACTTGTAATCATAGTAAAAAGCAATTGTTTTTTCAGTTTTTTAAAACAAAAACTCAAACCAATTGGGTGGTTTGTTATCATGGATCTAGATCCAATCCTAAAATCTTATCTAAATATATTATTTTATCATCAAACAACTCTCGAATATACTACGATCATCATATGTGTAGCGCCTTATGTTGTGGGTCCCATTCACATCAATTCAAAACAACTTAACAAAGTAAATAATTTTAACTCCGTAATCACAGGAAAAAACGATTGTTTTTTTAGTTTTTTAAAACAAAAACTTCAAACCAATTGGGTGGTCCGTATTTAGATCCAATCAACCGATTCAATCTGAATTTAATAACATTGTTCATCAAGAAATATAAAACAATACCACTAAAAGTAAAATTTGGGATAGAAAGACAATTAATTTCATGCAGAATCTTTGATGGTACGTTTGTCATATGAATTTTGTAACTCGGCATGAGAAATCAATGTCAATGCCTAATGATTCCTGGTTTTAAGAAATCGGGGTAAAACTTCAAAGTCAAATCAATTGTTGGAAATAGAAAGGCATTAACTTTGCCGGTGCCCCAAATCTTGCATTGTTGTTATCAAATTCCGCGTCCGTGAACAAAATGGATGGCTGGCTGGAAAGTACATCATGATTAATTCGGCCGAACAGTATTCCCATGGAGGTTAGTCTCATATTAATATATAGACTTGGACACCGCCGAAACATGAATTTTAATTCTTGAAAACATTGCTTCATAAAAAATATTGAACTGTATAAATTTATTTGTGACTAGGTTTTTGGCACGCACATGTATTATTGAACTATTAAATAATATTTTATATAATCTCTAACACATTATTTTGAATTATTTATATGTAAATATTTTTAGCATTTATTAAATTAAAAATGTTTATTTTTTTAAAAAAATCGAATAGCTTTATATAAAGTTTGATAATTTATAATTAAATTAGTTTCTTGATTGTTAATACATATAAATAAATTTTGATTGCATTCAAATAAAAACTATAAACAAAATATTTAGTAGTTAGTATATATGCGTGTTTGCTTAGTTGTAAAGTGTAGAATAGTATAAAATCTTTTATGGATTAAACCAACAAAGAACGAAATTCAAGCCTTTAAAATTTACAACCATGCATATATTTTTTTAATTTTTTTGGGTCAAAATCTAATTAAAGATACACATGCTGGAAAATTCCAGTAGTCTCAAACAAGTAATTAATAGAGTTTAATTAGTTGGAAAAGTGCAGGTCCAGAAACAAAGGACGGGCCGGCTATTTAATGATCTTAAATTCAGTAGTTGGTTGCGGCGAAGGATGGACCACTTTGATGACTTCGATACAGGACTCCCACATTAATTTCTTCAATGAGAAAGTATAATTTGAAAGAAGACATGTTCCAGTTTAGATAAAAAGAGGTTTCTGGCAACCAGTAATAATAATAGTTCGGATATAAAATGTATATTTGTATTATTTATTTTATCTGATTTAATAAATATTTATTAAAAATATTTAATGGATAGTGAACTATATAAGAATAAAAAAATATATATCTGTTAATATGATTTTAGATAATGATATCTATTCTTTATTATATTAATACTTATTAATTTATTTAGATTTTTATTAACATGTAGGGATCTAATTACATAAAATTTAAAAATTAAAAATAAAAAATTTATAAATAAATTACCAAAATGCAAAAAATTAAAAAATTAAAAAATTAAGGACAATTTTTTTTTTGAAAATTATAAGGATTAAAATAAATATTTTTTATAAATTAAATTTAACAGATATTAAATAAAAATTAAATGAGTGAATAAATTAATATGAAATGGATATGAGACAGATAAAAATTTATATGATGATTTTTTAATAAATAATGAATACGATAGTTAAATTAATGAATTGATTACCATCCTGTTGCCAACCGGTCAATTTATGTTAAAAAATTTATAATCCATTAATACGTACTTGTAACTTACGTCTCTTCGTCCAACAGATTAAAAACCATGTATTAATGTTCTGAACTACATAATAAAAACATTTTGTCTATTTTTAAATAAAAATATCAAATGAATCTTAACCGTTCGGATGTTACGATTTAAAGCACTATTAATATAGTAGTTGACTAGTCATTGTTGCTTCTAATAATTTAAACCGTTTGAGATAGCTAACTTTAACAATAAGTTCGGTTTTAATGGAGACAGAAATATTGTTTTCATATATTTTTTTTTTCTGGAATTTTAAAGATAGTTGTTGGTTGGCTTGCTCAGGTTCTTAAATTCATTTATGTTGTAAAGAAAAACAAGGCATTGGTTCAACTTCCAACAAATCGAATGGAAATGGTAGAAAGAGATGTTTTTGTACATCGTAATACGAAACCACCCATTTTGTGTACTAATTGGATAAGTGCACATTAGGTAGTCGGGGAAAAAAAATTCAATATTTTCATTTTGACTCACAGTTATTATATCCGGCCCAGGTTGATTCATCGAACAAGTAGCAAATAGATCCATTTTGATTAATATAATATTAATAAATCGAAAACAAGTTTATATTCAATACTATAAGGTGGCATCTTCTATTTGTGGAGACAAAGCGTTTTTCCGCTTAATTCTTTTTTTTCCTTCAAATATTCTAATCTAACCTTATATAATGAGATAAATATTTAATATTTTTTTATATTATAAAATGAGCCATCATGTATTTGTATATTAAATAAGTTTTTAATCAACAGAAAATATCATATGATTTGTACACTATTAGTTTTATTTAAAAAATTCTTCTCAGATCATTAATTCATATCACACTTTCTCTCCTTTAAGCTAGAATTTAGTTAAGAATAAGCACTAAATAAATATATATATTTTTCCTTTTCTCTTTTCCTTTATCGCTTCTTCCTCTCCTTTCTTCTCCACTCCTTTCTTCTCCATCCAAAAATCCAACCAATTTTTTCTGACTAAAATCAAGCCCCAAATCGTTGATCTACACCCTTAAGCCTTAAAATTGACCTTTTCACATTTCTCTGATAGTTTTATGACCAAAATCAAGCTCCATCTACCGATCATCATCAAATCCATCACTTTCCTTCATTTTTCCTTTCATTTTCCAGTCACTTACCACTCAAAACCCTTCAGTCTTCAAAATCCTTGGCTAACACCAAAAATCCCCTACTTTTCACCTAAAAATCACACAAAATCTTAAATGGTCATTTATGTTATTTGCACATGCCTATTCATATTAAAAGGATTTTTGATATAAAATTAGTGATGTCCCAATTATGAGATATTTTTTATGGTTTTGTCAAAAAATAATTAAAATGATTGATTGAAAATTCATTTAAAATAAAAGATATAATTGGCTTATTTTTAAGATATAAAAACGAATTGAATATTAACCTGATACTCCACCAATTTGCCTTTGTTTTATCACGTCCATGAAATTACAAGCCACTTGGAATGGCGCAAAGTGGCAAAATATTGGGATCAATTAGGTTAGCTAATTCACACTACTGTGTTTAATTAACTAGTTGATAGCAAAGTTTTAGGTGACTACCTTTTTCAACATCTTACAACGCTGCATTAACTTCTCTTTATCATTTTGTCCCTAGCTGAATCCAAACTTGAAACTCCAAAAACATATAATTTATCTCAAGAAAAAGGAAATCCAAACAAATTATTCTTCGAAAAAGAGGAAAATCTAATTTGACTCTTCAGTTTCTGAAGGCTATAAAAACAGTACTGTAATGGAGTACTACTACTCCTAGTCCCTATACATAGCCACAGCAAACCATGTTCGTTTCAAGAGTCTAGATTGCTCTTTAAACTAAGTGAGAAGCCCATTTCTTCTCCTCAAAAATATACCTTGAACAGCTTAATTAAAACTTACATTAGCTGCTCTTTGTCAATGGAGAGTGGTGATCTTTACAGAGCAGGAAGCAGTTTAAGAAGAGGAAACTCTTCAGGAATATTTAGAAACAATGCTAATGCTGCTGCAGATCGTCAAGTTTTTTCACGTTGTTCTCCAGGACAAGACGACGATGAAGAGGCTTTAAAATGGGCTTCACTAGAAGAACTGCCAACCTATGATCGTCTGAGGAAAGGTATATTGACTACTTCCAGAGGTGGAGCCAGTGAAATAGAAGTGCAGAACCTTGGGTTGCAAGACAGGAAGAATTTGGTGGAGAGGTTGGTCAAAGTAGCAGAAGAGGATAATGAGAAGTTCTTGTTAAAGCTCAAGAACCGCATTGACAGGTAATTAAATTATGTTTTTTCTTTTGATTTTTTATATGTCAAGACAACATATAAATTTACGAATTGGGAAATTTGGTATCATTTTTTGTTTTCTTTTTTTGGTTTCATGTTTGTTACAAAAATTTACTAAAAGAATTAGAAATCATGAGTAACTCAACTAGTCCAGTTGGTAATTAGAAACCTGTAAACGGTAGTTGATATGCACTTAATGACCTCTAATGATTTTTATTTCTGAAGAAAAGATGGGCTAATGACCTCTAATGATTCGAACTATTTAGCAGATAGCCAGCTAATTGATTGGCAGACGGGCATGCATAGGAACTCTGTTCTGATTTCTGAAGTTTTTGCAGCCATGTGCATTGTTCCGTTACTGATAATTTTTAGATAATGGAAGTACTTTGTTTTTCTGGTTTTATTAGAGTTGGAATTCATGTTCCCACAATTGAAGTCCGATTCGAGCACCTAAATGTTGAAGCAGAAGCCTATGTAGGAAGTAGAGCTTTGCCTACATTCTTTAATTACTCTGTTAATATGCTGGAGGTAAGAACCAGCCTGTATAGATCACTGGTAAATATTGCAATTTGTTCTTTCATTCATTTCAGGAACCTGCTTATTCTAACGTGCATTAGTTCATTTTTATTTGAAGGGTGTCTTAAATTATCTCCATATTCTTTCAAGTAGAAAGAGACATTTGCGGATCCTTAAGGATGTTAGTGGTATAATCAAGCCATCAAGGTACATTGATCATGTGCCGAATTTGATTGTTCCGATTTTATGATGTTTCCAGTTCTTTTCTGCTCTAATGTTTTCGTATCTACTACAGAATGACATTGCTTTTGGGCCCTCCAAGTTCTGGAAAGACAACACTTTTGTTAGCATTGGCTGGAAAGCTTGATCATGCTCTAAAGGTGATGATGATGCATAATTTTGATTTAAATCTTTATGCGTTGTCAATTTTTTAGATTTTTTTTCGATCCAGTATTCAATCTCGCCTTTAGTTTGAGAAGTTAAATCTCTCCTGCAGTTTTCAGGGAGAGTGACTTATAATGGTCATGAAATGAATGAGTTTGTACCGCAAAGAACTGCTGCCTATATCAGTCAACTTGACCTCCATATAGGAGAAATGACCGTAAGGGAAACCTTGGCCTTTTCTGCAAGATGCCAAGGTGTTGGAACCCGTTATGGTAAGCTTAATGAACTAGTACCTTTTTCACACAACAGTCTTGTCATCCATACATCATCTAAGCATGAACAGTTTTTACTTCGCAATTTGCAGACATGTTAGCAGAGTTATCAAGAAGGGAGAAAGAAGCGGGTATCAAACCTGATCCTGATATTGATGTCTTCATGAAGGTGAGGAAGCCACCACAATTGTGAAATCAATTCTAATGAGAGGGGGAAACACTTTTGACGCATTATTTGGAATAAGAAGAATGTCTTATTCATCACAAAAGGTTACCAATCCAGAGTTATAAGTTGCACATATTTTGCTTGATTTTTATTTTTTGTGATTTCTGGTATTGCAGGCTGCAGCAACAGAAGGGCAGGAGACCAGTGTGGTGATAGATTATATTCTGAAGGTAATATTGTAAAGGATCTTGAAAAACCAGAACATTGTCCTCCAATTATTTAATGACTTCGATCTTGAATTTAAAGGTTTTAGGACTAGAAGTCTGTGCGGATACAGTGGTAGGGGATGAAATGCTACGGGGCATTTCTGGAGGGCAAAGGAAGCGTGTTACTACTGGTAAAAAAATTCATTTATCCTTGTCAAAATTCAAAGAAAATTTGTCTTCTGTTTCGCATTTCTATTAGTTAATTCAACGTTTAAATCATAGGTGAGATGCTGGTTGGACCAGCAAAGGCGCTGTTTATGGATGAGATATCTACTGGATTGGACAGCTCGACAGCTTACCAGATTGTGAACTCGATCAAGCAATATGTTCAAATTCTTGAGGGAACTGCTCTCATCTCTCTCCTCCAGCCAGCTCCAGAGACTTATGATCTCTTTGATGACATTATTCTTCTCTCAGATGGCGAGATAGTGTATCAGGGTCCTCGTGAGCATGTCCTCAAGTATTTTGAATATATGGGCTTCAAGTGTCCTGCAAGGAAAGGTGTGGCAGATTTCTTGCAAGAAGTAAGCATACGAGTGGCTTTTGTCTCTCTCACTCTGAAACACACACACACACACACACACACACACTAGATGAGTAAGCCTACTTGTGATTTTGACTTCTGTTGCATTTAATGTCTATGAATAATGAATAATGCAGGTGACATCAAGGAAAGATCAGATGCAGTATTGGGCACGTCAAGATGTGCCTTACAGATTTATCACAGTCAAAGAATTTGCTGAGGCATTCCAGTCGTTTAATGTAGGAAGAGCACTTGGAAATGAGCTTGCAGTTCCATTTGATAAGAGCAAGAGCCACCCAGCTGCTTTGACGACCAAGAAATACGGTGTTAATAAGAGAGAGCTGTGTAAAGCTTGCTTCTCAAGAGAATTATTACTCATGAAAAGGAACTCATTCGTCTACATCTTCAAGTTCATTCAAGTGGGTATTAACTTTTGTTGAATTCTTTTTCTCATGAGTTTCATATACGAATTACGATTTACTCTCTCCTTTTCTTCTATTAGCTGACAATAATCGCAGTGATTACAATGACACTCTTTCTACGGACTGAAATGCACCGAGATTCAGTAACCGATGGAGGAGTTTATGTGGGTGCTATCTTCCTCATTGTGATTATGATCATGTTTAATGGTATGGCTGAGATTTCCATGACCCTTGCAAAGCTTCCTGTGTTCTTCAAGCAAAGGGACCTCCAATTCTTTCCTGCGTGGACTTATGCTCTTCCTACATGGTTCCTTAAAATCCCTATCGCATTCATTGAAGTTGCTATTACAGTTTTCATTACGTATTATGTCATTGGCTTTGACCCAAATGTTGGAAGGTAATGCAGTAGAAAAATACAGTATATTTGTTGGAAGCTTCTACAAAAGTTGTCCCTTGACAGGTTATATCTAAGGTGATTACTTTATTATATTTTTGTAGGTTGTTTAAACAATACCTTGTGCTCTTAATTACAAACCAAATGGCTTCTGGATTATTCCGAACTATTGCTGCTGTTGGTAGGAACATGGTTGTCGCTAACTCCTTTGGGTCATTTGTACTGCTCTTGCTGTTTGCTCTGGGAGGCTTTGTTCTGTCACGAGGTATAATTATTGAAATAAGTCTAATTTAGAGATTGAGCTTTATATTAAAGTGAAGGCATCAATGAATGCTACTCTCTTTTCTTTTTCATTGTCAACAGATGACATAAAGAAATGGTGGGTTTGGGGCTTCTGGACATCACCAATGATGTATGCGCAGAATGCAGTTGTAGTGAACGAGTTTCTTGGAAATAGTTGGAACCACGTAAACTTTGAACAGTAAATTTCTACATTCTATGTATGTTTTCCCCTTAACGATAGCTAACTTGACATTACTTTAATATCAAAGGTTCTTCCAAACTCAATGGAGCCGTTAGGCATTGAAGTTTTAAAATCTCGTGGGTTCTTCACAGAAGCTTACTGGTATTGGTTAGCAGTAGCAGCGTTGTTTGGATTCACTCTACTATACAACCTCTTATACATATTGGCTCTCACTTTTCTCAACTGTATGTATCCTTACAATTTGGAATTTTGCGCTTTTTCAGAATTCATTGGTTATGTTCTTAATTTTGTGAATAACATTTTGCAGCATCGGTCAAGCCGCATCAGGCTGTTGTATCAGAAGAACCTCAAAGCAACAAAGTGGATAGACTAGGAGAAGCCATTCATTTAACGAACTCTGGAAGTAGCTCTAGCCTCCATACAAGTCCAGGTAGAAATGCTAATTCAGATTGTTTCTTCATTTGCGTCATTTAATTCTATGTTTGTTGCGAATCAATGATCTTATATAACTAATATGCAGAGAGCATAGATGAAATTAGAAGCAAGTCATCAAGGTCCACACGTAACAACCAAAGGGGGGTCATTCTTCCATTTCAACCACATTGTATAACGTTCGATAAAATTATGTACTCAGTTGACATGCCACAGGTAAAACAAAGTTCCAAAAAATATGGTATAGTACTCTCTTTCCATCTGATAGAACCTAGAAATACGACTAATTTTGAACTGGACTCTGCAGGAAATGAAAAATCATGGTGCCTGTGAAGATAAATTGGTACTTTTGAAGAGTGTGAGTGGCGCCTTTAGGCCAGGTGTTCTCACAGCTTTAATGGGCGTCAGCGGTGCTGGTAAAACCACTATGATGGATGTTCTTGCTGGGAGGAAAACTGGTGGATATATTGAGGGGAACATCACAATTTCTGGGTACCCGAAGAACCAAGAAACATTTGCTAGAATTTCTGGATATTGTGAGCAAAATGACATCCACTCACCACATATTACTATCTATGAGTCCTTGCTCTACTCAGCTTGGCTTCGTCTTCCCACTGAAGTTGACACCGAAAGTAGAAAAGTAGGTATTGCTAGTCATTCTTTAAATTCTGTGACGGTCGGAAATTAGAGCTCTAAGAAATCACATGAATTAACAATTATTCAACTGGGCTTGGTTCAGCTACTGTCTTGCTATGATGAGCTTTTATTTCTTTCTTAAGTAGTTCCCGTCTACTTGAGCATTATCTGACACATAACAGAAGTTCTGAACTAAAAAGCTTTTCCGATTTTTGTACGTCCAAGAGTATTCCCTGATTTTTTTTTTTTAATGAAGTCGAAGATTATGTTATAGGTAGAAACCAGCAGGGTGCTGGTAAGAAGAAAGTTACAACCAAGATAAGAAGTCATTAGACCATTATAGACTAGACTTACCTGGAGAGTCAGCCACATAGTTCTTTTCTCTTTGAATATGAGAGAAAGAAACAGATTTTAAACACAAATCCTGTTAGAATATCATTAAAGATACTAAGTTTTCTGGGTCTAGCAGCTGAAGTTTTAAGAGTATTCTCTGATTGTGCCAGAATATTCAACCCAGTTTAATTTCAGCGTATTCTTATTGGATCCAGATGTTTGTTGAGGAAGTCATGGAGCTTGTAGAACTGAATCCGTTGAGGGAAGCGTTAGTTGGATTGCCTGGTGTAAATGGTCTGTCAACAGAGCAGCGGAAGAGACTAACCATTGCAGTTGAGCTAGTGGCAAACCCCTCAATAATTTTTATGGATGAGCCAACTTCAGGACTTGATGCAAGAGCAGCTGCCATTGTTATGAGAACAGTTAGGAACACAGTGGACACAGGAAGAACAGTTGTCTGCACCATCCACCAACCAAGCATTGACATATTTGAAGCTTTTGATGAGGTGAAAAATATTAAGCTGATTATCAGAGTTTGAGATCATTGTGGATTCTTCTGCATATACTAATGGTGCATTTGATATTTTTAACATGGAACTGCAGCTGTTTCTACTGAAGAGAGGAGGAGAAGAAATATATGTGGGGCCATTGGGTCGTCTTTCATGCCATCTGATCAAGTATTTTGAGGTATGCTACAATGGACTGCCAAAGTTTATCAGCCATGTAATTTCAAACTTTTAGTCATGTTTTCTGGATAATGTTATGTTTTTTATATCAAGGGGATTAAAGGAGTCAACAAAATCAAAGATGGCTATAATCCAGCAACTTGGATGTTGGAAGTGACCAGTACAGCAGAAGAAATAGCTTTGGGGGTTGATTTTGCCCAGTTATATAAAAGTTCGGAATTGTATAGGTAAAGTTTATTCACAGAACTACTATTACTTTGTCATGTTGGTCGAGAAAATCCTCCATGTTCCACTCCAATGTGTTGTAAAAAGAGATGAACAACTCGCTTATCAAAGGATATCAATATCAATTTCACCCTAAATTGATTGTTGATGCATGACATATGTTTCAGGAGAAACAGAGCTCTCATCAAGGATTTGAGCACTCCTGCTCCTGGTTCGAAGGACCTCTATTTCTCTACTCGATATTCTCGATCATTTTTGACCCAGTGTTTGGCTTGCTTATGGAAACAGCACTGGTCGTACTGGCGCAACCCACCATACACTGCTGTTAGATTTCTCTCTACAACAGTCATAGGCTTGATCTTTGGAACAATGTTTTGGGATCTTGGCTCCAAAATGTAAGTCATCAGTCAATGATATCGTTACGCCTTCTAATGTTGTATGACTTTAAATGTCACGTGGAAAATTATAGGACAAAGCGACAAGATCTCTTTAATGCAATGGGTTCAATGTATGCTGCTGTTCTCTTTCTTGGTGTCCAAAATGCTGCGTCTGTTCAGCCTGTGGTAGCTGTTGAGCGAACCGTCTTTTACAGAGAAAGAGCTGCTGGAATGTACTCTGCCTTGCCATATGCCTTTGCGCAGGTATCAAATATCGGTTTAGTTATTATGTAGAGCTTCATGTAACTATCTAAAATATTCGATCTTCTTGCAGGTTTTCATTGAGCTTCCATATGTTTTCGTTCAAGCTGCAGTATATGGGGTTATAGTCTATTCAATGATTGGATTTGAATGGAGCGTCGCAAAGTTCTTTTGGTATCTGTATTTCATGTACTTCACGCTATTGTATTTCACCTTCTATGGCATGATGGCTGTGGCTGTGTCACCAAACCACCAAATTGCGTCCATAATTTCTGCTGCATTTTATGGAATCTGGAACGTATTTTCAGGATTCGTAATTCCACGATCTGTAAGTTCTCGTTCGGCATAATTCTTTGAAGTGTTATATCTCTTATTTTGTTGGCTTTATATGTTTTGTTGTTTCGTTCCTCTACTTGGTCTACGACAGCGGATGCCTGTGTGGTGGAGATGGTACTCATGGATATGTCCAATCTTTTGGACCCTGTATGGAATGGTTGCATCACAGTTTGGGGATGTGAAGGATACGCTAGAAACTGGCGAAACAGTGGATCAATTCGTGAGAACTTATTTTGATTTCAAACATGATTTTCTTGGAGTAGTTGCAGCTGTGATTCTTGGGTTTACAATGCTTTTTGCAATAACTTTTGCTGTTTCCATCAAGCTGTTCAATTTCCAGAGGCGATAGGAATAGAGATTTATGCATAGCTAGATTATTATTTTTAAATGGGTTAATTTGTAAGATAATTTGACCCTATAATTCATACTTCAATGATAATGTTTATTTTTGTTATCCTCGTTCTACTGTATATTTAATAATAGTATCAGATATAATTTGTAAGAAAACGTTTAATTTAAATTTTATCCCATTAATTATCATCCAATATTGTGGTACGTAGTTAATGTATGAAATGATAATTTTAGAATATTTATGGTTAATACCATTTGCATCTAGTGTAAAATTTCTCATTTCTAGATAAAACATAAAACTGGTTTATTTTTTATTATTAAATTTAAATTATGTTTAAGTTGCAGTAACCCATAAATCTTTTTTTATTTCTTATCTATTTTGATTGGATGGAGGGTATAACAAATGTTAGAAAACACCAGGGAAAGGAGGAAGAAAATCCCTTGCATGACTTCCAGTTCGAGCAGAGTACTAATACTAAATTGATCATAGACTTTCTTGACCAAGATAGTCCGTTATCGGTATCAGACAACATAAATACGCTATTATTGGGTATAAGTACTTATGTCTTCTAATTATAACCTCTTTTTAAATCTCTTTAAATATCTGAAATCAACACCGCAAGCACCACCAAGAAGTTGCTCTACAAAGAGAAACCCATTTTCTCTATTCGACCAAAAATTTGAGGAATAATATACTATAGCTCCTCTGGATCTCTTTGTCAATGGAGGGTGATCTTTACGGAGCAGGTAACAGTTTAAGAAGAGGAAACTCTTTCGTAAACAATCCTGCTGCAGACCATACATTTTCACGTTCTTCTCGAGAACAAGAAGAAGATAAAGAGGCTTTAAAATGGGCTGCATTAGAGAAACTACCAACCTATGATCGTAGGATGAGAGGTATATTAACCACGTCCACAGGTGCAGCTAGTGAAGTAGAGGTGCACAATCTTGGGTTCCAAGAAAGGGAATTTGTTGGAGAGGTTGGTCAAAGTAGCAGAAGAGGATAATGAGAAGTTCTTGATAAAGCTCAAGAACCGCTTCAGTAGGTAAGAATCATAGAACTCTCTCTTCACACCCCACCCCCCTTTTCAGACTTTGTTAATACTTTTTTGCTTACCCAACATGACCATTTATTTACCTTCTCTCAATTATTTTAATTTATGTTTATTCTGGGTCATCTTGAACAAGCCAATTAAGTGAGTTCTTTAGATTTTCATCCATACAGACAACGTAAATCTAAAACTGGCACATTGGATAGCACTTTGATTGTTTTTTTTTTTAATTATTTTTGTCTTCCATTTTCATTTCTTATGGAAATGGGAAATTTCTGCTAAAAAGGAACATTGTTCAAACATGACAATCATATCAATGGAACTTGCAGCAAATGAAAGATCAAGGCATAGAAGAAGATAAATTAGTACTTCTCAGGGGTGTGAGTGGTGCTTTCGGACCTGGCGTTCTTACAGCTCTGATGGGGGTCACCCGTGCTGGTAAAACCACTCTGATGGGTGTCCTTGCTGGTAGGAAAACTGGAGGATATGTCGAAGGGAACATAACCATTTCTGGATACCAAAAAGGCAAGAAACATTTGCTAGAATTTCTGGATATTGCGAGCAAAATGATATCCACTCTCCACTTGTTACTGTCTATGAGACTTTACTCTCCTCAGCTTGGCTTCGCTTACCTGTCAAGATTGACACTGAGACAAGAAAGGTAGTGTCTAGTACCCTGTCTTCTTCATGATTTTGCTAATGCTCTTCAATTACAAAAAATTCGTTGTCCAATGAGAATTTCTGACAAAACTTGGTTAAGCTACACCTAGGCCTTATTTCGACTTCGGTTGGAGCTTGGGTTTAGCAACATTTATTGAAGTCTAGCCTGATAGAACTTTGAAAACTTAACCTTCTGTTTCTCTAGCATTGCTGCCGGATTGAACTTTGAAAACTTGAGTTTGTTTCCATGGATTCCTTCTGCTTAGTCATGATCAAGCATATTAACTGTTCGTTTTTGAGCTGTAAAAAACTTGTTATGCCTTCAGTTTACAACAACGTCAATTTTTTCAGTACAAGCTGTATAACTTATGTGCCCTAGTTACACTCAAATTTTCTCCTAACAAAATGGTTGCAGTTGTTCATCTAGGAAGTTATGAAGCTTGTGGAATTGACTCCATTGAGGGATGCTCTGGTTGGGTTGCCTGGTGTGAATGGCCTCTCCACTGAGCAGTGCAAGAGGTTGACAATTGCTGTTGAACTAGTAGCTAACCCTTGTATAATATTCATGGATGAACCAACTACAGGACTAGATGCAAGAGCAGAAGCGATTGTTATATTAGGAATACAGTGGATACTGGAAGAACAGCAGTGTGCACTATCCATCAGCCAAGCATTCATATATTTGAATCTTTTGATGAGGTGAGAGCCATTGATAGACTAAAAAGAGTCGAGATAAATTGTCGATTCCCCCTTTGTTGTCAACTGAGTTTTGATTAAATCTCCTACATGATGAATTTGGCTCTGGTCACAGCTATTCCTATTGAAGCAAGGAGGAGAGGAGATATATTTAGGGACACTAGGTCGGCATTCTTGTGATTTAATCAAGTATTTTGAGGTAACTTCTGGTTGGGCGTATAGAAAACCACGTACATTGGGAAATATAAAATCCTGTTAAACTCATCTTTCATTTCATTCAATATTTAGGGAATTCAAGGAGTGAGTAAAATCAAAGACGGTTACAATCCAGCAACTTGGATGCTAGAAATTACTAGTTCAGCACAAGAAATAACTTTGGGAGTTGATTTTACCGACGTGTACAAAAATTCAGAACTATACAGGTAAGTTTGACCAGAAGTTAAATTGTCTGCGCGACAAGATTGCAAGGCAACGCAATCTGTGATGTAGATAAGCAGCATGCAAGAAAAATATCTGCAAATTTAGCTGTTTCTCCCTTGGATTTCAGGGCAAACAAAGCACTTATTAAACAACTAAGCGCACCTGCTCCTGTTTCGAAGGACCTCCATTTTCCCACTCGGTACCCACAGTCATTTTTCGGCCAATTTGTAGCCTGCTTACTGAAACAACATCGGTCATACAAGCGCAACCCATCGTACAATGCCCTGAGGTTTCTGGTTACAGTTTTAGTTGCCTTGATATTTGGGTTATCGTATTGGACCTTGGCTCCAAAATGTAAGTTCCAGCTTAACAAATTTAAAATTTTAACTCCTTCAGTTTGTTCACGTCCTTGCATTAACATCTAATGTTTATGTTCAAGAACGAAGGAACAGGAACTGTTGAATGCAATGGGTTCCATGTATACCGCTGTCCTCTTCCTTGGTGTCCAAAATTCTGGAAGTGTACAGCCAGTAGTCTCAATTGAGAGAACAGTTTTCTACAGAGAACGGGCAGCTGGAATGTATTCAGCTTTCCCCGATGCCATAGGTCAAGTACTAGCGATCTTGTTAAAGAGAGTTTCTTTGTTTTTTTTTTTTTTACTCTTTGAAAATTTCCTTAATGGATTCCCAACTTCTCTGCTGCAGGTTATTGAGCTTCCATACATTTTTGCACAAGCAGTGGCCTATAGTATCATAGTTTATTCAATGACAGGATTTTAATGGACTGTTTCTAAATTCTCGTGGTATCTATTATACATGTGCTTAACACTAATGCAGTTCACCTATTATGGCATGATGGCTTACACCAAATCACTACATTGCTGCCATAGTTTCCTCAGCTTTTTATGCAATTTGGAACCTTTTTTCAGGATTTATGGTCCCGAGAACAGTAAGCTTCTTTATCTCTAGCAATCCACATCTTTGTTTTTCTCTTGAAATTGAAATAGGTTGGCTAATTTATCCTTCTGTTCTCTTTTGTATCATGATGATTGGCCTAAAAATAGAGAATTCCCATATGGTGGAGATGGTACTACTGGGCATGCCCAACGGCTTGGACGTTGTATGGATCGCTTGAATCGCAACATGGAGATAAAAAAGACATGCTTGACATAGGCCTGACAGTGGAAGATTTTATGAGAGAATATTTTAGTTTCAGACATGATTTTCTGGGAGTTGTTGCAGCTGTGAGTGTTGGGTTTGCAGTGCTGTTCGCATTTGTCTTTGTCATTTCCTTGAAGATATTTAATTTCCAAGAGCGATAATAGTTTAGTAGTTTTAGTTTGGTTATCTTCATAGGCTTTCCTGATGATTTTATCATTCAGAAGAGTGATGGATGGATGTTGATCAGAATAATGAGCATGCAAATTGCTGCCTGTTTCTTACCTCTACAATGAATGATTTTTAGTATTATTAATATTTGCATTATCAACAGATGCGGCTGTTCCAGGTTTGTGATAACATGATATATTATGTTATTTAAATTCTAATATTTAGATTCTGGTTAGGATTGTTTCATGTGTTTATTTTTAAACATATTTTCTATTGATGGAAAAATCATCAGCTCTTACCTTCTCCAAGATTCGTCTATGAAGAACAAGATTAATACTCATTGAAAGAGACAAAAATAAAGAGAATTTCACTTTAAAGAGAAAATGAAAGACATTTGAAGATGTAGCTATCTTTACTCTACTTTTTTTCTGAAGATCCATCGAATTGAAGGAACATAAAATGAGAAGGAAAAAAAAAAAAAAACACTTAAGTCAGAACAAGGATCCATAGAATCATCAAAAAGAAATTTGAGAACGATGATCATAAAGAAAAACTCCAGTCAGAGCAATACTGTCATCATGGATTTTTCTAACTTGGAAATCCAGTGGGCTCAATAGTTTACGATTAAAAAGGTTTGATTAAGGAACCATAGACTGCTAGGAAAAAAGCCCAGTAGACTGTGAGCAGCACAGCCCAAGTTTGTTCATCTTATATGGTATATAGTGTTATATCGAGATATCTCTCGAAAGTAATCCAACTTAGGATAAACTCCAACGCTTTAAATGATCATCCACCAAACTTTGTATATATATAATTATTGTTTTGTTTATTAGTAATTTTAAGATGTTTCATTTTAATTGAAAAATGAAAACAAATATCTATGTGTTTTCTATCATTTAAAATCTTATATCATATCGAATAAGCCGAAATGGATCTAAATGCTCTAGAAATTAATTCCACCGGCCACCTCATTCCACTGATTAAAAAGTGGTTTTTTTAAGTAAAATTTTCATTACTCCAGTCATAACATTTGTTATATTTGATCCAACTTAATTATTTATAAAATATATTAAAACTCAGCTCTTGATATGTATAATAAAAGTTTCTTCTGTTGGTTTGAATATTTATACGTTTTCTATTTCAACTGACCTTGAAAATCTAGCTATAAAGTAATTTAACATCATATTTACATTATATATCACAAATTTAAATATATTTTTAAAACTTGAATTAATAATAATATTATATGTTTTAAGCAATTATTTGGTTAAATAACTAAGTGTTATAATGTGTTAATCAAAAAAAAAAAAACATCTTTAGGTGTGTGAAATTATTTACTCGAAAGGTAAGGTTGAAATGATTTGGTATTAAACTTTTTATTACTAAAAAAACTAAAACATTTAGAGTTTTTACTGTTCATTTACTATAGTATTTCATTTTTTTTTTTTTTTAAGGGTTGGCCACCAACCCAGCCCTGTAGAAGCAAGCTTAGCCGGGCTTGGCAGCAGTCCCGTTTGCCTTTTTTTTTCATTTCCTTTCAGTAATTTATTTTTATATTTTTTTTATCATGAAATTAGGTGTGAAAAATATAAAAATATATTTTGTTTTATAGTTTTACGTATAATTTGAAGATAATAGAATATATATGATATTTTTTAAGATTTTAATTTGAACATATATATCTGATTATATTATTTTTATTATTTAAAATTTCTTTCTTTAATTGTTTGTTTCTTATTGAAATTCTCATCAAATTAATTTTTTTATTTTTTATATAATTTTATTTTTTTTAATAAATTTGATTTTGTATATATTGATTTTGAAATAAAATTTAAGAACGTGATTATTTTATTTTTAAAAATATATTATTATAATTTATAAGATTGATTATTTTTATAATTTTTAAATGAGAGTAGCGTAATTGCATATATAAATTTTGATGAGAGAGAGAGCTAATAGTGTGTTTTAGATAATTTGACTTAATTTTTTAAAAAATAATAGTCGATTAAAAAAATAATTTGACTCGATTTTTTTAAATTAATAATTAGTTGAAAAATTCACAAATTTTATTTGGTTTTATATATATATAATCAGAATTTATCGAAATTAATTTTATAATAGTTTTTATTTAAATTTATTCACTTCGATATATTCCATGTGATTTCAGTGAATTTTTTTGTATATTTTATTTATTTATTCTATATACTTTGAGTATGTTAAATACGATACATATATAGTATTTTTCTTACAAATTAATTATATTTGCACACATAACATCAATTATTTGTTGTTTATTTTTTTCATGTTCTAAAATCTATATTTTTAAATAAAATAATTTAATTAATGTTTTGAAAGAATCTCTTAATTATTCAAATATAAATTTTTATATTAATATTATAAATTATTTTGTTAATAAATATATATATATGAAATAAGTTATTTAATATAGAAATTCGATTTATATTAATTTTTAAAAACAGAACTTTTATTTATATCATAGCATACGAATCTTAATCTTACGTATATAATGGTTGTCCGACCGCAACATAACGAGGATATTTGACTAGTATTTACTAATAAAAAAATTGGTACGACAAGAACAACTTTGCATCTGACATGGAAATTTCTTTGATATTAAAAAGAATAAGCATACCTCCTTAATTAATTCCAATATCTCAATAATGACCCGTTAATTTTATAAGGGATTGATCTAACATTGCCACTCAAAATCATGGACCATTTCTTTTTTAATGTCAGGGACCAGATTTTGGGCCCTCAAATGCAACAAATAAAATGTCATGTCATTGATCAATGGGCGTAATTTCATAGGGTATACGTACATCTTACTAAGGAATTTCTTTCATATTGAAATAAGAAAAATATATCTCCTTCATTCCTATGTCTCAATGACGACGACCCTTTTTTATTTTCCTAAGATAAACCAACATTGTCACTCTAAATCCGGGACCATTTTTTTTTATAATGTCAGGGACCAGATTTTGACCCTTTAAACGCAACATTTTAAATTAGTTTCATTGAATAAATGAACGGACATGCAGAGAGAGAGAGAGAGAAGGTATTGGCCGTCACCCATCTAACTAAGAAAGTTATTTGATGTTGGAAAACAAAAACAAAAAGAAAAATATATCTCCTTTTAATGTCTCAATAATTACCCATTAATTATATTTTATGAAGATAAACCAACATTGCCACTCTTAACCAACACTACCAAAATAGGGGATTTAACAACGGTTTAAATCGTCGCTAAAACCTTAAAAACTCGTCGTTAATATTTATTAATGACGATTTAAAACCGTTCAAAAAAACCTCATTGTTAAATATTTAGCAACGGTTTTTTGTTTAATGTCGATAAATTAGCGATGAATTAATTATGGCTAAAATAGTTATAATCCGTCGCTAAACAGTGAAATAAGGTCGTTGATTTAGTGATAGTTTTGTTAAATCGTTGTTAAATTCGTCACCAAATATGAACAATTTAGCAATTATTTTTTAAAATCATCGTTAAATCCGTCACTAATTACCAACACTTTTAACGACTTTTTCAAAAAACCATTTCTAACGAGTGAGAAAATTCATCTTTTTAATAATGGTTGAAAAACCATTGTTAATTTATTTTCTTATATATTTTTAGTTATTTATTTCATTGCTAAGAAGAAAAATAAAATTCATTTCAATATAACAACTACAATAACATTATAAAACAAATTTATAAATATTACAAAACCTTTATAATATATAAAATTCAATAAAATGAAATATATATTCAAACATCAAATTATTTTAAAGTTTATTAATATTTAAAAAAAACATAAAAGCGATAAAAAAATTATATTGCGATGAAAGGGATACAAGTCATGGCATATCATCATTTTCATTAAACGTATGATGATCAGTCAAAAGATCGGTAGATGAATTGTCTCTTTGCATATTCAACAATATCTATTGCATCATTACATGTCTGCTCTTGACTATACTACAACCAATTTGTAGTAGCTAAGAGCGATGTTTAGAAGAATGAGCCTCCATTTCCTTTTGCCGTGTCTCAATATCGACATGGAATCGCGATGTGGCTAAACTAGAGGATGTACTAACATTAGGGTAACGAGTGAGAGGCCCGTGACTCGCGTTCGTACATCATCTTCCTCTTACTAAGTACCCTCCGTCCTCCATCTAGCAACCTCCTCCTCTAACAGACTTTCTAAAAATCTCATTCATGTTGATGTCGAGCGATGAAGTACCCTCCGTCCTCCAACTAGCAACCTCCTCCTCAAATATTTTTTCATCGGTCTCCATCATAATTGTACAAATTTTAATATTAAATAGTTATCTCAATAAGTTATATAAAAGTAACATACGTATGAAATAACCTTATAAATTACTTACTCGAGAATTCTTCCCCGCTGATCGATGAATATGTATTTATCATCAACCTTCTTTTGTGAGTCCTCAAGAAAACCTCGTGAGCATCCGGTTTATGACCCAACTCATTATGCTAAAACAAATATACTTAAATGTTTATTGATATTGTAATAATTGTAAATAACAAATAATATATATATAAGATTTACCATGCGTATTGCGTGCTCCATGTAGGTGATCGAACCCCCGTATGTCTAGATGGGCCAACTCGATGTCATCTATCTCGTTCTTGTGATTCCGAGCCTCCGGCTCGCATCGAGCACGAGACTCGCATTTTATCAATTCCTTATGCCCTAGATTCGATATCTCTTGTGAGATATATATTAGTTTGGAGTGTTTTTTTACCCGATAAAAGAAGTTGAAATA